ATTTCGAGCGAGTCTATAGAATCCTCCGGAAGTTCTTCGAGCGAGATCAGCAACTCGCCGAGCATCTTGGAAGTCTATGGGGACGTGCTGGATCAGGCGAATCAGCAGATGGGAGAGCCCGACACGGGGGTGTCCCCTATGGTTAACGATAACTTATTTTCTCCTCGAGATGATGAGGACCCTCAGGAACGGGTCGTAAAAGACCCCTGAGAGTGGCGGTCGTATTTCTATAAAAACGGGGAGGAAGTTTTCACTGATGTGTATACTAGCGAGGAGGGCCCCCCGGGAGAATGGTCGTTTTATATCCCAAGGAAGGACAACAGAATATGCTCGAGGTACATAGGAGACAGATCCTGATGTATGTTATCGTCTTTCAAGAGATGGGCTTCCGCCTTCCCTTCACCGACTTTGAGGTAGCCGTTTTTCGGCATCTGCAGGTGGCTCCTTCTCAATTTCACCTGAACGGAATCATGTTTGTGTAGGCGTTCTTGATAGTGTGTGACTATCTAAGGATATGACAATCTAACAAGGATATGACAATCTTTCATGCCTTTTGTTACCAAGAAGAACATAGCCTTCTGGTTTCTCCATGTAATTCTCCTCAACGTGTAAAATTTGTGCATCCCGGGTACAAAGGTTTATCCTTGTTACTGAATAAAATATCATACGCATGTGCCCTCTTAAACAAATCTTGTCCAATATCATGCATTAAGTCTTCCAAACGATCATCCATTTCGACACTAACATCATATCTTTGGGACACGTTTGAATTTGATAGTACTTCACCGTGTCATATTCATTGTGTATAATTTTGATAGATCCTTATACAGATTAGATGATCCATGATTTCTTTCTTACTAAGTTTTGGTTCTTTATTTGCACAACAAACACATGGATAGAGAAAAAGCGCATGAAGACTTTTTTGAGCATTACTTTCAGCAAACCGTAGAAATTCTTTCACTCCATGTTCGTACTCAGCACTTAATCGATTAGCTCTCATCCAACTACGATCCATACCTATGTTCCGAAATTAATGAATACATAGTTAAATCATTAGAAATTTTTATTTCTAATATATTTTTTTAATAATTAATGTTTTTTAACATTCTTTACTTGTTAGATCACTCCACAATGACTTAATATAGGAAACTCCGTCACAAATAATATAGAACTAGGATAAGTTCTACTTAACTGTCCTTGAATGTTTCTAGTTTGGGTAGAAATATTCATTTATAGGAAGTTCGGCGGGAGACTAGTATTACTACAAGAATCCATAAGGAATTCTTTTAAACATAAAAATTGTAACATAATATGATGTCGCGGGATTGAAAATTGGTTGGTGGTTAGCATGCAAGATTAAATAAAACTAATCACCAAACCATCGTTAAAATATGTCCTAAAATAATCGAAATACATGTATACATATTAAATCCATTCCTTTAGATAAAATGTACTATAAATCTGGATAACAGTAACAATAATGATAAATCTAACCTGTCGGAAATGGAGAGAGATAACTTCCGAGGCGGAGGGAGATGAAGAGACATTGTTGTCGTATGAGACGGAGGCCAGAAAAGGAGGACGGAGGGAGATGGCGATCGTATGGTGGCCGAACAGTGCAGAAGACGACGTCAGGGCAGAGGGAGACGGAGAGACACGATTGTCGTATGAGTCGGAAGCCGGAAAAGAAGGACGGAGGCAGACGGCGGTCGTATGGTGGCTGAATGTTACAGGAGACGACGACGGAGGCGGAGGGAGACAGAGGGAGATGGTTTCGTATGAGAACGTTGCAGCAACTGTTCGAGAGAGATGAGGCGCACGACATTATGAAGATCAGATTAGTATATTAGAGTTTTGTGAACTAAAAGGGGATTTTTACATCGGTTGGACAAAGAGCCTGATGTAACGGTCAATCTTTTATATCGGTTGGGCCTTAAACCGATGTAAGAGCCACTTTTCTTTTATAACAAAGACGCACCTTATTTACAAGACTACCACTTTGTGAACTAAAAGGGTGTTTTTACATCGGTTGGGCCGTAAACCGATGTAAAGACCACTTTTTTTTATAACAAAAATGCACTTTATTTACAAAATTGCCACTTTGTGAACTAAAAGGGGACTTTTATAGTGGTTGGGCCTTAAACCGATGTAAGAGCCATTTTTTTATAACCAAAACGCACCTTATTTACAAAACTGTCACTGTATTTTAATTTTTTTATCATTGGACTTTTTATATCGGGTGTAAGTAAAGGCTCGATGTTAAATTCCTTATAAAAATTTTCATTTTATTTACCAAACTGCCATCTTGTTATATTTTCCTCTAAATCAAATGTTTTTCATATCAGAGAAATAAAAGTCCAATGTAAAATTTTTTGACAAATATTTTTTACATCATTTATTTTATATCTGATGTAAAGATTTTCTCTCAAATGTCATATTTTTAGTAGTACATGTAGTAAAATCTCAATAGATTTTTTTTACATAACAAATACTATAGCAATCAACAACTATTGAACACCATAAAAAATAAAGTGAGGCTTGGATGGTTTTATCCTTGTTTGCCTGTTTTGAATTGCTTTCAAAAATAATCGGTAGAATATGGTAAAATGATTTAAAACTAGGATAAAGATGTATTATCCATTGACCAAAAATAAAATAAAATGATTTTTCCTTTGATGCAACATACACCACAAATTAACTACGAATGGGACCAATATGCACTGTGGTCCCTCTTCTGCAACACAAGTGAATTTAAACATTCTTGATTTTCCTATCAAGAAATCATAATTGGGAAACTCTTATTGGATGGAACAAGTACTATACAAATTCTGGATATTTGATATGTTTGAAAAAGATGAAAGAAAATAGCTTCTAAAGAATGTGTGGTTGGAGAAACAAAATGAAATGCTACAAGCCAATAGAAACATGGACATAGATTTCATAAGATATCTACCATTCATTTTTCACAGTTGAAATTGTTGAAAATATTAAACTTGATTTGGGCCTAAATTTATTAATTGGTTTTTAGGCTTAGTTATTTTGGGCTTAAGTAGTTTTTTAGAGAATTTTTGTAATATATGGAATCTCTAGATATTTCTTATAATTGTAATATTTTCTAGAATGATATTTGGATCTCTAGAGTTGAGAACTCTCTAGAATTAGTGTGTCTAGAGTTCTCCATAGAGTACTATAAATAGATATGTAATCCCACACATTTGCATCAAGCAAAATACAAAGTTCTTCTCCTCCATAAAGAATTATCCTACTTATCAAATTTATATTCAAATCTTCAATATTTCCACACACATCTCCTTAACATAAAATGTCTTATTTCCAACAAAGTGGTATCAGAGCAGAACAAAAGTGAGTAACTAAATTAGAGTAACAATAACAACTAGAAGCAGCAAAATCATACTAAAAAAATTGAAATCCCTAGGAGAACTCCAGCTAGAAGCATAATTCATTCGGATAGAAAAGCTACAAAATGAAAATGAAAAGAAACAGACACTCAAAGTGATCGTGCAACTTATTGAGCTTTCACGTGCTGCAGAACAACATTGTAAGCTTCATGCTCCTCCCCGAAATCCTTGACAACCACACAGGAGCAGTCAATAACTTTTCTAGCTTTTCCCTCGGAATCATCTTACACAAACCAGCCCATTCTCCAAGTGTCTTTGCACTGGGAACTGTCAGCAGGCTAACATTGTGCTCAACACAAAGAGCCTTGACTAGTTTAACATAGTCAGGTTGGTCACAGTCTTTTGTAAGAACACAAAGTTGTCATGCGTGCTTCTCAATTACTTTTGCACCTTCGTGAAGGCCGCGTGCAAGACCTCCATATGCCAACGACTTCCTGAGCACAAGTTGCAAGGCAGTCATGATGTCCATTGGCTCACCTGGAATTCCAGGTGCAGCAGCAGCAACAGGCTCAGCTACAACAACAGCTTCCTCACCTGACATTTTTCTAGTAGATTTGAAAAAACAAGCTTTCTTTTTGTTTCTGGCTGTCGACGATGTTAAGTTCAGTGAGACTCAAATTCCTATCCAATTTGCTTCTGATGCAAAGGAGGGCGAACAAGTTATAATCAAAGACAAGGAATTGAATATAATGAGATATTTGCTCCTGTTGCTCGTTTTGAAACTATTAGACTGATCATTTCCTTGGCAGCCCAAAATGAATGGAAGATCTATCAAATGGATGTGAAATCAGCCTTCTTGAATGGTTTTCTTGAAGAAGAAGTTTATATCGAGCAACCACTAGGCTATGAAGTAAAAGGGAAAGAAGAAAAAGACTTGAAGTTGAAGTATATAATGTCTCAAGATCAAGCTGCCGACATTTTCACCAAGCCACTAAAGTTGGAAACTTTCGTGAAGTTAAGGAGTATGCTTGGATTCACAAATCAAGTTTAAGGGGGATGTTGAAAATATTAAACTTGATTTGGGCCTAAATTTATTAATTGGTTTTTGGACTTAGTTATTTTGGGCTTAAGTAGTTTTCTAGAGAATTCTTGTAATATATGAAATCTCTAGATATTTCTTATAATTGTAATATTTTCTAGAATGTTCTTTGGATCTCTAGAGTTGAGAACTCTCTAGAATTAGTGTGCCTAGATTTCTCCTTAGAGTACTATAAATAGAGATGTAATCCCACACATTTGCATCAAGCAAAATACAAAGTTCTTTTCCTCCATAAGAATTATCCTACTTATCAAATTTATATTCAAACCTTCAATATTCCCACACACTTCTCCTTAACATAAAAGGTCTTATTTCCAACAGAAATAACATATAAATAACACTCATAACTCATCACATTCAGTAACCATCCTCAACATTTTCAATACAAGTATTCATTTGTTAACTCAGTAGTAAGCACTACAATACTACAATGGTCGCTTCGACAATGTCTCTTCAGTGAGGGTGGACTTGACTACTTGGGTAACCCAAGCCTTGTCCATGCACAGAGCATTCTTGCAATATGGGCAACACAAGTTATCTTAATGGGAGCTGTTGAAGGTTACCGCATTGCAGGTGGACCTCTTGGCGAGGTGGTTGATCCATTGTATCCAGGTGGCAGCTTTGACCCATTAGGCCTTGCAGAAGATCCAGAAGCATTTGCAGAGTTGAAGGTGAAAGAACTGAAGAATGGTAGGTTGGCCATGTTCTCAATGTTTGGATTCTTTGTTCAAGCTATTGTGACAGGAAAAGGACCTATAGAAAATCTCGTTGACCACCTTGCAGACCCAGTTAACAATAACACTTGGGCCTATGCCACAAACTTTGCTCATGGAAAGTGAGAAAATACAATGATAAGTGACTAACTTTATTATCACAATGTGAGTTTCTGATTCTAATATACTGTGTAATAATATATGGAGCAGCATTAAGAGACTGAAATGAATGTGAATGATGATCATGAACCTTACCAGATCTATTGAAACGACAAAGCATTGTGTAATTGATTTTTACAAAATATCATATCATGTCACTTGAGGTTACATTTTTCATTGAATATTGGTCGGCATTGCTTATTCTAGATTTTGTTAATTTTGTCTGGATGTTGTTTCCCTCTGCTCTGGAGGCAATTAGGACCATGGATTTTACGTAATTTTTAATAATAATATTTATTTTATTTTATGTATTTTTCATTAAAAAGTGTCTAAAATTTTATTAAAAAAATCAAATGTCTTTTACTTGTTTTCTATTAGTCGTCCTGCATCGTTCTGACATCTAATTGGCTAGCTTGCTGATCAAGATAAATTTGAGCTTTTTTATTATTTGGGAAATTTTCTTCTCTAGCAAGTCAACCTAGTTTTTCAGTCTATAACAAGGACTCTTGTCCATCATAATTTTTCATCCACAATTCACTATAATTTTTCTAAAGTTGTTGTTCTTCACATCGAAGAACAACAACAAAGAAACATGAAGCATCCATCAACCTGAAAAAAGTCTCTGCACTAAAAAAAAAAAGGAGATTGGAGGAAGCAGCTTAAGTTTGGTCACGGTACTTCAAGTTGGTTTCTCTTTTACCATCTTATTTAAACTTGTGCATGATTGCTTGTTGTTGGGTTAATTATTCGATGTATTTCTTTGGTTGATGTCAGAATCCAAAATTCAATTTGTTCTTTGTCTATAATTATTTTGTACACAATTCTTATTTTAAAATTTATTTTTAATAATATATTTAGTTTTATTAATTATATGTAGTTGTTATCATTAACAATTATTAACATAATATTATAAAGAAAACTACACAAAAAAAATTTGTTTTTCACCATTGTTATATTTGTATATTAATTTGTGTATTTTATTTTTAAATCTTAATTAAATCTGACCACACATCTAAATTTGAGTGGAATTAATGTTAATAAAAAGAAATAAAATACAAATCTTTTTAGCCTTATTAAGCTAATAATTAAATATAACAAGTAAATATTTTCTTTTCTATAAATTCTTTATTCGTTAATTTTTTTTGTCATTAAATAAGTGATTTTGAGATATATTTTAGGAATAGTAAGTAGATTAATTTAGAATTAAATTAATGATTCTTTAAACTATTTTTTTATAGAAATTACTTTTTTTTTTCATAAAAAAACATAAAACATGTTTCTCTTTAGTGTAGTTAACTATTAACGATATTTTCTATATCTATCAAACTTTTTTTCAAATTATATATATATATATATATATATATATATATATATATATATATATATATATATATATATATATATATATATATATATATATATATATATATATATATATATATATATATATATATATATATATATATATATATATATATATGTCTTAGTATTTAGACTAATAATCGACTTGGTACATAATTTCAAATTTATTTTTAAATCTAATTAATTTCAAATATTCTATAATTAATAGAAAATCAATCTTCCAATAATTAAATGGGTCGACATATCGTCTACCGATTTATTATTCAAAATCAAACTTTTTAATTAAAATTCTACTTAATTTAAACACCCCCTAGTCTTACTGCCATAACTAAAACTACACCCCCTGATTTAATTCAATTATTAGTTTTTTATTATTATATTTTTTATCTATTTTATATATTACATTTTTTATTCTATTCTTATTATTATTACTATTATTATTATTTATTATTATTATTATTAATATTTTTTATTACTATCATATTTTTTATTTTTTTATCATGTAAATAAATTATTTTTATTTAAAAACTCATGAACATATTTTCTACGTTGCATTAAAATATTTTTAGTCATGCATTAATTAAGATTTTTGCAATTTATATGATAACATGCACGCAAATAAAATCACCCCCATGTCTTTGGGTAAACCAGAAGAACTCCAGAAAAAATAACAATCAGAGTCACAAGGTGCCAAGGGTAGTCAAGGTTTCTTATCCTAAGTTCGGGAAGTCCATAACTCCATGATGCCAAAGATAATAACCAAATAGTCCGAGTAACCTTAAGGTTTTTTAACGTTCAAGTTGGTTATTAAGTATCTTCAAAACGAAAATGAAAGCTCAAGTGAGCAAAACAAAAATGACATAAAGATAAATGCTCAAGTGAGCAAAGATGAAAATAACATGAAATATAAAATGCTAAAATAAATGGTGCATAAAAGTAAAAGCATAAAGTAAAAGCATAAAATAAAAGTACAAAGTAAAAGTCAAGTGTTAGTGAATTAGAGATTAGAGGTTAGCTGAATGATCATCTTGAAAACTTGCATTTGAAAACTCATTAGAAGATTGATAATATCAAAGCTTCTCGACAACAAGTTTCATTTTCTTTTTGTCAAGTATATCACTCATTTCAAATTTTCGAGGCAACAACATATGATCAACGATGTTTAAATGATTCACTTAGACCAAAGTTTATGATGGTTCATTAGAGGATTGATAAGAACAAAGCCTCCTAATAATGAACCTCAAGATTATTGGATCAAAGGTTTCAAATTAAATACACTTGAGCTTGAAAACATAGGTTTAGGCCACAAATGATCATTTCTCGAATCAGGACAAAATTTAGTGCTATGTTAAGCAATCGTAAGTGGACTTACGTAGAAGTCGCACCTATTTTGAGGTCGGTCAATAGTAATGTATGCACTACACAAGTCTTGACATGTGGTAGAAACCATACTCATGAAACTTATAGCACAAGAAAAAGTCAAAGAAGAAATAAGATGGAGAAAAGATATTTGAATCAAAGAATTTAATCAAACTATCATTAAAATCATTCATCCATTTTGGTGGAGTTAAACTCAACACCCAAGATCTAATGATGTTAATGAAGCTCATGATTAAAAATCACATAGTTCAAGCACAACCAAAGTATATTAAAAAAAATAAAGTTGCATTTAATAAGCAAAATAAAATCAGAAAAATAATTTTTAAATTATTTTTTAAGTAAAAATAAAAGGAAAAATAACAAACTATATTCAAAGTATAAAATAAAAATAAAAAGGAAAGATAGAAAAGTCAAAGATTATTTCAAGTATTTTTATAATAAATTTGGTAATTTTTTAAAACAGAAAAGTATTTTTAAATTATTTAAAATCACTCAAGTAAGTGAAAAATGATTAAAAATAGTAAAAATCAGAAAAAATATCTAAAAAAATTTCAGAAAGTCAAAAATAAAGAAAATGATTTTTTTGAAGTTTTCCATGATTTAAAAATATCAAAAAGTATTTTTAAACAATTAAAAATAAGTCAAAACAAAAGAAAAATCATAAAAAATATCAAATCTGAAAATAAAATTATGAAAAAATAAAAATAAAATCAGAAAGAGAACATTTGAAAATATTTTTTGTGAATTTTTTCATGATTTTTGAGTCAGAAATGAATTTTCTATGATTTTTTGAAGTTCAAAACAGTTAAATATAAAAAAAAATTGAAAATAAAAAAAAGCCAAAAAATGTGGACCATTAGAATAATGTCAAAACGTGTTAGTAAGCAGATTCAAGGGATCTAACATGTTATGCATAATATGGTCATCTTAGGAAATCACACCAAATCATTTTTTAATAATTAAAAGTAACTAAAAATGTGGCACGTTGGATGAAATCTGAGTAATGAAAGTAATCAGATCCTAGTGTTCTCAAAACGCGCATATGGTAAGGCAAGCACACTGGATAAAATTCAAAAAAATTAGATGTCACGCTATCATTGGTTGAAGCACGACACATATGTCATCTTCAACCTCCAAATGCCCTAGATTGGAGTTCCACAAACTATAAAATTAGAAAACCGGGCTGATACCATTAGATTCATCTCTTCAAGAAGATTCTAATGGTCCCCTCACGCCAAATTTATATAAGCTGAGCAAGACTCTATTTGAAAAAAAGCAAAAAAAATAGCTAGCACGAAATTTCCAAGTATCTCTCTTAATTCTTAATGAAAATGAAAATCATAAGAAATATGAGAATCAGAAGGATGAGAACAGTAGAATAGGAATTTATTTGGTTCAATTTGATGGAGAATTATATCTGAACGAAGTAGCATAAAATTGCTCTGAAATTGGACATCTATAACTCGATTCTATGCATAATTCTTCTTGCTAAGGATCTGGTTAGCTTCAATGAATGTCAATGAAGCTAACTAAATGGAAGTTTTTGTGAATTAAGGGGAGGAAATGAAAAAATAGAAATCAAACTTAAGAGTTCGTGTGGGATCTTGGTAGAGTGGTTTTCGCTATCCAAGCTTGAGGAAATGAGTGCAATATGTCCCTCTATTTATAAGAGAGTGAATGGTGAAAAGAATTGGAAGAAATAGTAAGTTTTGGAGGGAAAATAAGTGGAGCTCGAAAATGGAAAAAACGTGACTCTAATTCACCTAAAACTCATCTAATTCATGTGTTTTGATGCTAAAACAAGACCGAGCAAGTTTGTTAATCATGTTTAAATCAAACATGCGTTTAAAACTGGTGATTAGAAGGAAAATTATGGATTTCAAATTCTGACTTCGGAGAAAAATTCAGTTTCAAGTAGCTGACTTTGAACTCATGATGTGTGCAATTTAGGAAGCCTTACGAGTTGATTCTTGATGCATTGGAAAGATCATGTGACACACTTCACAATATGTCAAGAAATACTTCATTTGGATGCTTAAGCTGAAAGTTATTCTTAGTCAAAATCAAGAAAAATACGCTGACTTTTATACTTGGAAAAATTCTAAGTTTCTTCTTCAAAAATGACCTATAATGTTTTGATTCCAAACAAGGTCTTCCTTCAAATTTGAGCTTTGGTCATTGATTATAGCTTGAATTAGAATTCCTATAGAGTATTATGAAACTTA